ACATTATTTCAAAACGCTTTATTCATTTAGTAGTGTTTTCCTTTTTCTTCCCGGAAAATTATTCCGAGGAAGAAATAAACCGTGAATTTTTTTCACTCTCTACGTCCCAAATTTCCTTGCCGATTTTGGCTTACGGCGGAAGGGAAGGACCTTGAGGAACGCCGTTGCATTTTGCTGTGTCTGAATCGAGGGAGAGAGAGATAGATAGATTCGCGCTCATGCGCGCGCTTTCGTTATTACGTGTTTGCGTCAAAACTTAAAGTCCTTCGATACGTGCTGCGAGCGAAGGACGCGGGTGCACGTAGAGAGAGAGAGAGAGAGAGAGATGTGGGTTGTTCTACATGCATATGCGCATAGTTCCACTCGCGGTCCTCGTGTAACCGAATGCCCCAATGACCTGGTTATCCGGTCTCGGCGTGACCTCGCCTCGTGACGCGAGTCGAGCGCCCGCGCTCGCAAAATCAAGGTAAACCCATCGCAGCGAACACACATTCGCGATTAGCCCAATTCCGCTTTCTTTCTTCTCCCGGCTTCCTCGTTCCCCGCCTTCCCATCCTTGCTCGTCGCCTTCCCTTTTCATTACGCGTCCCCCATAAAACCTCCATGGCGTAACGGTATCGCGATATCGCATGTCAATCTTCCGCCGTGCTATACCTGTCTATTAACGCGTTTAGCAATTTAGAAAAATTAAATTATACGTGTGATGAAAGATAATTTTGAGATAGACCGATCAAGCTTCGTGAATATATTTTTCTCAATGGTGTTAATAATTTAGTGAGCGATAAAAGGTATTTTAGAGAAGAAGATTCTTTTCCAAGAATCAAATTTGAAATATAAAAGTGGAGAACGAAATCTTCTATTTACACACTTGAGTGATGTATAAATCCGGGCTTACATAAATGGAGTCTTAATTTGTGATTTATAATTATCAAGCTATATTTTAATGATGAGAAGAGTATACGCCGTTACATGACATTATTTTCAAGTGAAATCGCGAGCTGAACGATATACGATCTGGTGATGAAAAAAAATTGCGTCGGCCTACGATTCTGTCTTATAAATGACGTTAGCTCCTTAATCCACTTATCCATTTCATTAGAAAGACAGTGAGACGTTCATTATACTTTTCAAGTCCACGTGCAACTTAGCGACCGATAGAGCTCTGACTATTATCCGCTAGGTTAATTTAAGGCGATCCCACTTTTAAGATTATAAGTTAGTGAAACTCATCGCGAAGTTGCGTGTCGAACTCAGGTCTTAAAGCGATTATCCGCCAACCGACATTCTCTCAAAGATTTATCCCAGCTTTTTTATAGCATCTGCATTTAACATTCTTAAGACATCGCTTAACCTTTTTGTAGATTTGAATAAAGTTCAACTCATACGTACCATAAAAAATACATATAATATGCTGTAGTTTTTATTTAATTAATAATGTAGAAAAATATTTTTGTGATACATTAGAAATAATAAACATCTTTATAAAATTTTTATGATGTTTTCAGTATATGGAAATGCTTTGAAACACATTTCCTAATAATAATAATAATAGCTAATGGCGTCATTTTTAATTAATATTGTCATTTATAGTTGGAACGATAATTAGAAAGTTGATTGGTCAGTGAAAGTATAATAGTATAATAGCAAAATTTTCTGAAAAGATTTAACATATTTGGAAGTGAAATTGATCATCTTTCATTGACATTAACTCGGTGATTTATAAATACTACAGAAATAAAAGTTAATTATGATTCTATCAACAAAATATATTGGTATCCCAATCTCGATTTTAATTAACTAGAACGTAATACTAGGCGCGCGCCACTAAGCTTTTCATATTATATATTTTTATATTATTCGTTAATAATAGCGACATACCGTCGTGATGAAAAATAGAAACTCATTCAGTCTTGTTCATCTTATATTTGTCCTTGTTTAAAATCGATTCAAAGTTTCATTCGCTACTAACCTCGCCCGTCATTTACAAATTGACAGTAACTCACGAAATTAGCGCAGCAAAAGAATCAATCAGCATCGCGGAAAAGCGGCAACAATAAACTTCGAGAAATGCGAGTAATCGACTTAACATCTCCTTTTTTATAAAGGATTATTATATTATTTTAATATATACGTATGCATATAATACAAATATTTAATTTCAAACAAATTTACGATTAAAATGATTATATTTGCCATCTTTTAATTAATTATGTCAGCATTCCTAATATTTGTTTTTGAAAATTATTGAACAGAATTAATTCTTTAAAATACGGGCTGTTCTTTTTTGCAAATGAGACCTATTCGTTGCGCTTTTTCCACGAGGTGAAAGCAGCGAAAGTTTCGGTCAGACTTGGTGCGTGACGATAGAAACGAAATATTAAATGTGGACCGTGGTGACATCGTTTATAGATCCGCATCGCTAGATATTCAGGTGATGGTACCTGCACGGATGAGTTAACTGTGTCCGTTATACAAACTGACCTATTAAGAATATTGCGATTACCATCAACTCACTTTTATGACACTTCGAAGTTGTCGTCTACCTGAAACCTGAATCGTTTCTCGTTCCAATCGTTATTTATTATCGGAGCTTCGTCGTGAAATATATGATAAAACAGATTTCTAAATAATAACTTATGTAAATGGCATTGCAACAAATTTAAGAGGTAACGTATAGAGAGAACGTAGAAATGGAACAAATATATTCTCGCAACTCATATATTGTGCATAGAGAAGTGAGAAACGATTAAGGAACGGAACTTTCGAACGCGAAGATTTGGCGATGCAGACAGAAAGGCGATCTCGAGCACGTGACTCGAATAATCGACCGGTACCACATAAATAAGTCCCTTTGAAGTTCGGACATATATCGATGAAAATCCCTCTCGCGTCCTTTCACGGACTCGCACACGTAGATTTGGAGGATTCCGACAGTCTGTTATTCGCATCAGAGAAAGAACCACTTCCTCTGTGCACGCTCGGTGAGCCTAAAATTCTAAATCATGCACAGAGCAAAAGTGAAGTGCTCTTCTTTCTCTCTTTGACACACACACACACACACACACACACACACACTCTCTCTCTCTCTCTCTCTCTCTCTCTCTCTCTCTCTCATTTACTCACGTTAGATTTTAATGAGCGAATTGAGGAAACGGTTGGTCGAGTCTCTTCAACTACTCGATCGATAGAAAACGCTTGTGAATAAACCTGTGGCAATTTGCACTCGAATGAAGCTCAAAACTAGTCATCACAATCGCTGATGCATGGAAAATCAATCTTATTATCAGTATATTGAAAGATAACAGAGCGGGATTGAGGTTCAGAGCACTTTGAAAAACGTATTGTTCTTGTCTGCAGCATGTCGTCATTCTTTATTCTTATGTTTTATTGTGTCGTCAGTAATAAAAATTCAAGGAAAGAAACCTCGGCGGACAGTATGCTCTTTATTTTGAGGAATATATGTAAGTATTATTTTAAATAATAAATTATTTGTTTGCCAAATACTTACATTACGTTATATCTGCAGTGTAATTTTGTGGATAATCTTATAATTTGAACAAAAGTTTAACTATTAGCTTTGATACAAAACGGTCTTTTTCCATCAGAGTATAGAAATATAGAATTCATGGTTTTTTTGTTAGTTTTTTTTTAATTCATCCACTGTTCACAGACTAAAAACAATTTCCGATAAAATAATTTCATAGATGAATAGACGAAATTATATTTAGATTCACAACAGCAAGTTAACACACATATACATTTACGCACATAATATAAAATAAACCATAGTCAAAAGAATTTTTTGAAGTAAAAAAATCAATAGTGTAGAAGAAACTATACGAATAGAAATCAGGAATTCTATTTATATAACAATTCGACATTGTTGATATATTTAGTCCTGAAAAATTGAGAAATTATGCGGAACGACATCGAGGACTTTCCACAAGAATTTTATCTTCCGGGAGGAAAACTCGGTTCTAAAATTTCCATCCCTATTCGTACAATTTTCATACCGAGCGCACGAAAAATGCGTATCGCCGTTGAAATTCCATTCTTCTCGAAGCTCACAGTCCACTCTCGCTTGGTATTCGCAAATCTGGAAGGGTTCCCTTACGGAAAGGTGATCAAATTGGCAATGTCTCTATGAAAAAAAGGTAAAACGGATATAAGTGGGAGTAAAAATAAATATTCGTAGATCCCTTGGTGCGTGTAGTTTTTGTTACGTGCTCACCCGCTATGCACTTGACAATACAGTTAGCCGGCCGACCAGCCTCCGGCGCGAAAATTCCGCAATGCCAAGGGGAAGTCTCGCGTGCGGCTGGACGATAATGCGCATCGCTCGGGGACGATGATTTAACGCTTTAACAGCGGATTGTCGTGACCACGGAGACCGCAAAGGGTTACGAGCGGATTGGCCGGGCCCTCCGAGCGCGCACGCCGGTCCAGCTTCATCGTTGTCGCTGCTAATTATTTATGTTGCTCGATCTTCACACCCCTTTACCTGACGTTAATTGAATTTGCGTTTGTCCGTAGGGCAACTGTCCCCGGTAATTTTGCCGGCGCACAACTAGTGCCGCACACTAGTTTCGAAAGTCGAGGAATGTATATTTGGTCGATGTCCATTTTTAATGAAGTATAATAAACTTTATATACTTAATATCTCTAACATTTTTAGACGTTAGAAATTCCACGTATACATGGAAGTAAAATATGATATTACTAAGTTATTACATAAATATGACTACTTGTACTAAATTTGACGTTTTAATAAAATAAATAAGTGGAATTTAATTTGTATATAAATTTATTTTTATAAAGATTATATTAATAATGTATGATTTAAATTTCTAACGATAAAAAAATTAAACATGTCTATAAAAATTGTTCTATTTGTGTAATTAATCTCTCCTTTTTGAAATAATTGACCTCTCATCTTTCTCTTTTCTCTCTTTTACTTTCTCTTCTTCTCTCCACGTGATATATAATTTTATGCATTGCAGATAAATCTACGCCTCATCCTCGTCAGTGGCAAGACAAAAGAGTTCCTATTCAGTCCAAGCGATTCCGCGGGCGATATAGCGCACCATGTGTTTGAAAATTGGCCGGAAGGTGAGTTAGTCATTGCCGTTTCGAAACTCTGAACCTTGCACCAATCCATTTTATTAGCGTTGCCATAATTGCAATAACAGCAGGATCTACCATATGATGCCATCCGCAATTATTACCATTAATTACCAATGTGTCATCACGAAGTGTAGTAAACTTGCAAAATCATTGTAAAACGCAGTTGAGAATTTATTAAAATTTCCTTGTTAATTTAGAAATTTTTTGAGTTAAGAAAAATAAACAATTCAGAACACAATAAAAAAATTGATAAAATTATATGCGCGTAAGCATGTAATTAATTGGAAGTTTCGAAAATTGAAATAATTTTGAAAACATTTTATCGTTTTTTTTTCGTTAGAATGTAAAAAATTTAAAAGTCATAGCAAACACAAAATAAGCCTTTTTGTAATAAAAGATTTTTGATACAAAAAGATTAAGAGTTCAGAATATTAAATGATAAATTGACTCTCTAATAAAGATAAGAACTTGAAAATTTTATCAATCTTGATGATGGAAGATTTATATTTTCTTCTCATCTCAGACTTGCCCTTGCTATAAATATCTTCTGGAAGTCTGCGACACCTTTTCGAGATTCGAGAGATTTTGGTAACTCTCGGAAACTTTTCGCAAATTGTTGGATTGAACTGGTAAGAGAACTCTCAGGATCCCGCAAATGTTATCTTCGTGTTGCAGACTGGGCAGAGGAGGCGGTCTCCAAAGCGGAGATCCTGCGGCTAATCTACCAGGGTCGTTTCCTGCACAGCAATGTCACGCTTGGCGCTCTTGGGCTTCCCTTCGGAAAAACCACGGTGATGCATCTGGTGCCGCGGGAGAATCTTCCGGAGCCTAATTCTCAAGGTAAATTCGTGAGATGCAATCACGTTATCTCCTTCTCCGTGGAGGCCGTTATGAAACTTCTTGTGTGCATTTTCCTCCACTTCCCCGACGTCACAAAACCAGACATGCGCAAAAATTTCTTTTCAGCTATGCATTTGCCAATTCTATTTCGGTGTAAAAATAAAACTGTCGTAGAATCAAAATAGAAATACCTTTATAGATCATAAAATTAAATTTCAATATATAACTGCTTTTTATTACATTATGTTAATTCTTATTTGCATATGTCTATATGTATATATCTATATCTGAACTCGTCATTAAAATTCGATAAATATTATTTATTAAAATTGCTGAAAATTGTTGCACCGATCATCATCTACAATAACCGAGAGATTATAACAATCATTAATTTCCACAATTAACGTTGTTGTTTAAAAGAAATTTCAAGATAAACAATATAAAAATTTGATTTTTGTTTTTTAATTTAATATATATTATAATTATTTATTACATTTTTATGTATGCATAATATTTTTACGTATCATAGAATCTCTGGAGGAAAATAAATTATTCCCAGATAAAAGAGTTAATTCTCTGCATCTCGTACAAAAACACGTTGCGCATACTCTACCGTAATTTTGTTAATATCCAGTTAAATCTTCACTCGTTATCGTTCTTTAAATTTGTTTATTCGCTATACTAAACTAAATCTATCGCATCGGTACGTGACGCGCTTGCGTAATTATTACGGTAAAATCTCGTTACAACGAGCTGCCGCCGTGGATCTCCAAATTGAATTTATTACACCAAAAGTTCGTTACATCAAGCCGCGTATTAGACGTGGCGATTTAATCACACTTTGTTATAGCGAAAATGTCGTATTCCATCGATTTATTATAACGGAATTATATCGATTAGCTTTATCTAGTCGTGAACTAACGATTTATAGGGAAGGGTCAAAAGGACAAGAATGTAAAATTAAGAACCAAAATTTTTCGAGTATATTTTTAATCTAAAATATCGAAAAATAAGCTTTGTCATACTTTCTGAAATTTTATAATATTTTGCAAAATCTCAAATTAAAATACAAAGTTGTTTTGAATGTTATAATATTACACAAAGGTATTAAATTGAAAAACATGTAAAAATGAAATTTACTTTGAATTAATACAAATATAATAAGAATAAAATTTATTCTAGTTTTATAATATTAAAAAATTAATTCCATTAAATATTTCTTTCTTTATTTCAGTCACGCGATAAATCTTTCTAATTTTACAACTAAAAAAATGTTCGTCTGAATAATTTCATCAGTATAAGAATAATATTATTTTTTTCTTCAAATTTTTCCTTGATTCACGCTTTATATAAACTTTCTAATATACTCTGGCATTTATCTCGCGATACACAAGTATACTAATAAACGCCGCGATCGTATGCATTCTTCTCGATTTAACATAGGTTACTGTGCGACCAGTGAAAGTTAGAATATTAATTCGCATAATCAATCGTCTCATCAGATGATAGGTGACCACCAATTTCTCATTGTGTAATACCGTCATTATTATTCGCACACAGTCTGTATAATCTCGCGTAAAATGCACTTCTCGTTGCATTCCCCTGCAATTTCTCTACTGCTTCCGGCATGCATACTTCCGCTTTTGCGAGCTTTCCTAATGAATCGTTGATCACGATTCTTAATTCAACATTGATGAACAATTTTATATATACACTGCTCAAAATCTGGCAATTTGTCTCCCTTTTTTTTGTCTTATATCGCGACATCAATTTTGCCGTCCGTTCACGATTAATTATTAATCGATGCGATGGCAAGTGCAATGGATAAAATACGGGCAGATAGTTAATAATTAGCTTTGATCGACGGAGAAGATAATCGTCGAGGAGCGACGCATTGTGCAACTTTGCAACAATACGCCGCAACTTTATAATACAGAGGAGGTTTCCTCCTTTCTAAATTGGCTTTTTCACGTGGTTTGTACATCACCACGCGGACTGCAACGTCAAGTTTGTAGGAAATGCATCATTATTTCCGCGTGTTTGTCAGACATTCGAAAAAAAATCGATGAAAAATCGAAAGTTCGGCATTCATTAATTTATTAAATAAATATTAAATAAATTTATTAAATATCTATTAATTTAATAAATTAATATTAATTGATTAAATAATATTAAAATTATGGCTATTTGTATGTCAGAGATTTTAATTAATATTATATTTGTATTTATATATCCATATATTTATTAATAATAATTCATAAAGGCTTTATGTGCAAAAATTAAATTTATCAATTTTGAATAATCGATATTACGAAATTTAAACATAAATATCTTGCATATTTTGTATTACTTTTAGTACAAGTTCAAATTATTATTTTATATTACTTCTTTAATTGATTCTTAAGGCCGACATTAATCCTGTTAAATTGAAAATATTGATTTCTTGAATAGGTACGTTGTTAAATCAATTAATAATAAAAGAAAAACCAACAGTTATTATTATATTATTTTTTTAGGTATTCTTCCTAATGGTGAGTACATGTATATCCCGCCCGATGATCCCGAAATGTGACATCAACTATAAGACATTTTCTTAATCCTTAAATCAACGTGAGTTTTTCCAATCCTTATCCTTGCTAATTCCAATACCATTGTATATTTTCATTTTATATAGCATATCTATTATTATTATTGTATGATACGATTATCAATTATCAAGTATTATACAATTATCGTTTATACCAAACTACCAAAAATGCAATGAATTTGAAAAATCCTATTTATGTCTAAATTTAAAAAACCATAACACATATTCTATCACTCAAAAAAAAATGATAATATTGCATTTGACATTTAAATGGAATTCAACAAAAGAACATTAATTATAAGTGGGAAGTGTCTGTATAACTTTATCTCATTTTCTTGCAAAAATAATTTAACAGTTTAATATTTTTATTTATAATATCTATTGTAAAATTTATATTTTAAAATTAATATTTTCTTTGTCGAGAAATGAAAATAAAAAATATATAATATTTAATTTCTTTAATGCAATTAATATTTATACAAATTTTAGATATAAATATATAATATATATTAATATCTACATGAATTAAAAAATAAAATTTTTAATTTGGAAATAAATAAAGTGGCAGAGAAAAGGATCGAAATACAAATGATTTTATTTATGTACTGGTGTATTTATTGATTTTATTTTATTTATTTATTATTTAAATCTTTTACTATCTTTAATAGTGTTTGACAATTAGAACTTTTATTAAAGTTAATTACATACGCAGGAAAGATGATTAATTATTATATACAAGCTAAAGTTTTAGGGAAAAATGATTTTTTGATAATTTAGTTTGTAGTAATTAATGAATCCTTCATTTTAAATTTCAAGGAATTATTTTATTATAACCTGAATCTGTTTAATGCATTAATATTATATTATGCATATGCATAATGAATATGCAGTTTTTGCACATTCTTACATTGCCTGTAGACTGATCTATCCGGATTTCGCGATACAAATCAACGTATGGTAGAACGTTGCATTGTAGGGGCATATGAGTAAACCACACATGCGCGATTCTGTTGCAGATCAGAGACAGAAAAGTAAAGGCGGCGGGAGTAGTTGCTGCTCGGCGTCCTGCTGTATACTCTAAGTCGTCCGGGTGGCCATCGCCGACGTCGGTGGTGGATTTCGTGGCGAATGGGCGTGCGGCATGGACGACCGCGGGCTCATCTACAGCATTGAGCCATGGTTTCTAAGATTTTGTGCTGATGTATAATCGTTAGTGGCTGAGCTCGTGAGCAGTGTAGCACGAGAGACGAATTGTCAAAGAAGAGGGAAAAGGAAAGATTATGAAAAAGAGACAGAAAAAGTGAGGACCGCAAGCGAGGGACGTGTGCTGTAACGATGCGTTCCCGTTTCCTCGATGAATGAATCCCCCACGTCGTTCCGTCGATCGCTTATTTCGGTTCGTTTGGTAGGCGGTAATGCGTGCTCGATCAATATGCCCTCGCGAGGGAAATCTGTTCGAGAAGAAGAGCGGATAGATAGCGTGCTCCGTTAAGAGAGGTCGGATCGTTGTTGGCACAACGATTAGTTTGCCGAGAGATCTCTGGCCAAGTTGAGCCGATAGCGATGGTCGACTAACTTCGATTAACGACGTTACTTCGGATGTTATTGCTCTTGTTGTGATATATAGATGGACATGAAAAGGATTTCAGGATCAATCATTAATTTCATTAACAGCTTAAATCAAGGATTGATCAGCTACTTTTCTTATCCAACTTGATGACTGCAGCGTTGTAATGTCGAAGAAGAAAGAAAAAGAGAGAAGGAATATGTTCGTTTATAAAATTAATTAATTGACTTGACTAAATTTTAGTTAACTAAAAAGTTAACTGAATAAATTTAATTAACTACACTGGTTAAGTTTGCGTGACGATATTTCTTCATTTCTACAACGTTCACGCTGTTAGAATGTAAATGAAATAACCATACAGTTAGCGATCTTAATTAAATTTTGCTTAAGAATTCCTTGTCTTTTTCTAGATTAAATAGCTGTAGTTATAATATCAAAGAAAGGGAATGATCGTAAATTTAGTTAACAGCTTTAACTAAATTTTGATCGGCGATGCGCTGTCTTTTCCTAGATTGTGACTATAGCTGTAATATCGCAAGAAGGAAAGACGTTATCTGTAAACTGGGTTAACACTCTCGGTTAACGTCGATTAACTTTTGTTAATTTCCTTAGTTAACTTAAGTCTTGATTATTCGCCCTCGACTTGACCTAAATTAGTTTAATTCAATCATACATCCGTCTCATCCCGCGAAACAAAACTAGAATCGGAAGGTTCTACGAAAGTTAATCAACAACTAACTGTAACTATCGTTTAGTTAATCATAGTTGGAGCACCGTTCGGTATTAAAGCAACCGACATCGGAGGAGGATAATTCGAATAATTACACATTTGTTGCGAATATTTGTAATCTCATTTCGTTTGTCCGACATAAGAAGTTTTATGTGTACGCACGATAAGACGAATAGAATTTCCAGGTAGAGGAACCGAGTAGCGCGAAAGACTACATCTGTTCTAAGCGTATATCCGAAACGCATCCTGGAACGGCGCTACAATGCTTAGAAACTCAACCACTATCACAGTACTGCAGCATTATAATAATTACGTAGACGGGATTGTGTGCATGCTTGCGTAAATTGAATGTATCGCGTTCGAGAGAGAGAAAGAGACATAGAGAGAAAAAGAAAAAGAAGGAGCGAATGAGAGAGCGAAAGAGAGACGAAGCGCGAGAGAATCGAAGAGAAAATAAAATTTATGTTGTGATATGCAGGTAGCGATTATATGTTATATATAAATATATATATATATAAATATATAATATGTATATACAGGTTATTTCTAATCAATCATGCATTTTGTCGACGATATTCAAAACGCGTTAGTAGTTAATTGTGGTAAAGATAATTATACGCGAGAAAATTTCGCAGTAATTAATTTTCAGGCGAGATATCGTCCGCTTGCGAAAAGCGGATAAGTCGCTTTACGAGAAGTCTTATTCGGTGTAATGTCAATAGACACATTAAGACTGATAAGGGATACAATGTATCCACTGGACTTGGAATATTTTTTTAAATTCGGTCGGTATTGAACTATTCATGCGGTATTTATCGTCGAACAAATGCGAGATTGATCAGAGATTCCTCGCGTGTACAGAATGTTGGAAAAAAAGAATGCGAAAACGAGTATATTCTTTGAAAATTTGATAATCGATCTTTTGGCGAAAAATTAATTCAGTATCACATTTCATCTTTGTATATATTGATTCTCAAATAACATATTGAATTCCATTAATGCGCATAAGCTTTATTAAAACTAAATATAATAGTGTAATAAAATGTAGATTAGAATAATATATTAATTTTATGTGAACATATGTAAATTTGAGATAAATTTTCAAAGACTATTCACATCATACCAACGTACCGATAATTCAGTATATTTAAAACTATTTTACACGAAATATATTATCATTATCAATATATATTCACAATAATTTTAATGTGACTTTTTCATTCGTTTGCGTTCTGCGAGAAAGTTTTATACGATACGTTCAAAATATATAAATAACTATTGAATACAATGCAACTTTGGCTTGGAAACGATCACCTTCGAATCGGACAAAGAATACATTCACCCATTAAGCATTTGTATTCTTCTCTTTCAACAGACTGTATATACATACTATTATCAAAGTCGCGTGTGCACGTTGATGTGCACGTTCCGCGTTTTAACGCACGCGTCTCGGCATGCACGCGCGACGGTATGAGACACGTTGGCGCGCAGTTAAACTCTCATACGAATAGACAACTTTATTATCATGAATTTAAAAAGAAGTAATATTATATGACGCCACTTTGAGAGTTTAGTATTCCGGAATATAAGATTATTAGAGAAGAGATAGAGAAAGGGAGAGAGGGAGTGTGTGTGTGTGTGTGTGAGAGAGAGAGAGAGAGAGAGAAGGAAAAGGAGAGAGAGAGAGAGAGAGAATATTGGATCTCTAATGAGTAGTTATGATGAAATGAAAACTCAAATATATTTCCTGTTATATATATTCCCTTCTTTCCTCTCGTCGAGTCCCCTTGGTCCTCCCTTTATTATTCCATCTTCTCTTGCCCACCCTTGCCCACTCATCCCTTCGTGTTACCCGTCCAAGCGAATCTGTTGGGCCTAGAACGTCGCTCTCGTTAGACCCAAGAATAATAATTCCACGCTATGAATTTACATGCCTGTTTCGAGTATCGATCGTAGATAGATCCAATCAAACCGTTACGGCAAATGCATAGACGATTCTCTCTGTATACTGACACTGACACTGACACTGATACACGGACAGACACACCCCCCACCCACACACACACACACACACACACACACACACACACACATCACACGCGTGTCACTTTCTGATACACTATCTTATACTAATCGTACTGTAACATTTTACGAAATGCATAACCCCTGTGTATATATATATAACGCTAATGTTCTTACTGTAGTTAAATTTGTCGTGAGAAGAAGTCAGAAATTTGTGCGATCAAAGCGCGAGCTATATATTTAATTTATTTCACACACACACACACACACACACATACGCGCGCGCGCGCGCGCGCGCTCACACCAAATACACATACACATATATGTTTGCAAAGCGAAGCGATCATGTTTGTACATTTCAAAATCGTTATTAGTACCTGCCTGACTCATAAACCTGTGCCATACCGGAATTCTTTCTCCCTTCGGTCTTTCTTCGCTGTCCTCCCTCCGCCTCCAGTCTTTTTCTCTTGATTCTTTCCTGCTGCGATTGACTTTTAAAGCATAAAATATTTTTGCTTGTATTTCTTCGCCGAATATTGGTATATGCGAAAAGCGTTTGCAGATTGAAATTCAGCGAGAACATTGGCGTTAGAGAGCGGTAACAAAAGCCGGATGCTCCATCAACCAAAACATATCAATATTGAGCCCGAATTGCGACGACGAAAAATTCAATTTTTTAGCTAATCCTGATATATCGAGATCAATATATTAGCGCTTATCGATGTTATGATTAAGCTCAAATGTTATTGACTAACAATTATTAATATTAATACATCTTAATCGAAGCGATTGAGTTAATTATGTGTTGCAAATAAGACGTGAAAAGAACTTTCATACAAGCAAACTGAATTTATTTGTATGATTTCATAAAAAAAAATTATTTTTCTGAAAAGATACTATATCAAATTAGAAAGATGTGCAATAATGGAAAAAATATCTAAATCTCATCTTTATTACTTATTTATTACTTATTACTTATTGTTAATTTAATAATTCTTTAAAAAACAAAGAATGATATATAACGGGGGTTTCTTTTTATAGAAGATTTTTTTTACATGACAATGTTTTGTAAACGTACGTTTCTGCCTTTCTTCATTTTCTCAAATTGTATTTGAAGTGATGGCCAAACTTTCTCAAACATAAGTCGCATATTTATTTTAAATTTTGCTGTCTCAAATCATTTTATATTATTTTTAGCAAATCATGTGTCTTGAAAACTAATTTAACTCTTTTACAGTTCAAAAATAATGAACTTTAAAATTAAAATTAAATTAAATTAAAAGTACATTCAATTTTATTTTTCATAAAATAAGATGAAGACAATAAGTAGGACTTTTATAATTAGAAAACGGAATCTCGTGCCTAATTATTTTTATACATATTCCATTTTTCTTGGCCATCTCTCTATGCATTGATTACGCATTCTTAAAACACAATATTAGACGAAAATGAAGATGAAGAATTATGAATTCATATTATTATTAAATTTATACTTAATTTAATATTACTAACAAGCATTATATAAACTTATAAAAAAGTTGCACAAAATGTCACTGTATCGACTCTACATGTTTTCTTTAGTATTTGTTTCTTATTGCGAAAAATATCATCTCAAGTCTCAGTGACCGAATTGATAAAAATGTTCATTTCGGAAAGCAGAGAAAGTTCTAAATTGAAATTTTGACTGGAGTGATATTTTCCGTAATTTTTTATAGCTTTGTCATTTTTATAAATTTATAAGATACTTATTGATAACATCAAATCGATTATAAATTTACTAATAGAAATTTAGAATTTCGGCTTCGTCTAATATCGCATTTTAAGATCGAGCAATAATCGGAGCGTAAAAAGTGAAACATGTATGAAAATTCATATAAAAAATAATTAGGTTTAAAATTCCGCCAAGTAATAAAAGCCTTATTTATAAGATGTAGACTTTGTCATATTATATGTTCGTCATGCATAGTTGTAACGATCGTGCTCTAGTTGAACTCCTTGGGGAGGGCCTTAGTTTGGTCATCACGGTACAATGCTATGCAATATCGATGTCTTTATTCGTGTTCTATTTCGAGGCGGATGAGAATTTCAAAGTACACGCGTTCACGGCAGGGCAATGTTATTCCTATCTATTCCCTATCGCCTATCTAAACGGTGATTCTATATGGTGAAAGTCTGACGACGATCACATTGTATATACTGTGGGTTTATGGGACTGGCTCGCACGATGCACTCATTACAACTTTGCTCATTGTTCTTTAGCACATTCGCCCCAGGCAGTATTTATCGATTGTTTTTTTTTCTTTTTAGGAAGGATCCATATCTCTCTCTCTCTATATATATATATATATATATTATATAGTAGAGAGAGAGAGAGAGAGAGAGAGAGAGA